CAGCAGGAAATTATTAAAAAAAGCTTGAATCTCAAATTTTCCTCCCCACAGTTATTCACTTAAGTGTTTGTGAGGTTTCTGGTTTTAGCTGGAAGCGAAGGAAAAAGACAATTTGGGATTTTAGATGCCTCTTTAAAGGAGCTTAACTAGTATTCCCAAAAATGAGGTTTTTCAGACCATTAGCATGTAAACAATGACAGAGACATCTTTTTTTTTATATCTAATCAATAAAACAGAAACAGCCGAGTTACTAAGTCTAAGAAGTAACAAAAAGTTTTTAGTAAATATGCACTGTAGTTTATACTGTTGCATACACAGTCTATGTAAACCACAAAGTCCCATTCACCGTAATGGGATTCTGCATGATAAGATTTACATTGTAATGATTCTTCCAAAAACAACATGCTGTAAGCCATTTCACAGTTTTTTGCACATTGAAAATATCACACACAGTAGCAATAAAATCATAGCATCTTTAATATGCAAAAATTTGAGAAATGGAATGTCATGTCAATACATTGTAAACCTTTATGCAAAATATCGGTCAATGCATTGACACCGTAGTGGCTCCGTTAGCCGTTACAGTGACAGCATTAAAAACAGAAAATCGTGTTCCATTGACAAAACTCGCATCCAATGCGGTGTCAATGGAAAAACCACAGCAATGCAATTATATATCAGCTCTAAAGAACCAGTACAACCAAAATATCAAATAAATTTTGGGGTAGGGACTGTTCATAGAGTGTGCCGGGGCTTAAGAACAGAAGCATTCTTTTAAGAATCGTGGGCAGCAAGGCTATTTCATTCAAATGCTGCTGTTAAAGAAGAATGAAAACGAATACAAAAAAGCTGTATTAAAACTACATTAAGGCTCTGATTCAAAACATTGGAAAAGAAGAACATCCTGAATCAAGACTACTGTTCATCCTTAGCTTGCTTTACCGTGCTTAGGCATTCAGCCCTTTTAATATGCAAGATAATGCACAACTCGGAGTCAAGCAATGCCTGAACACAATAGAATAAGCCAAAGATAAAATGGCAGCCTTCAGGTCCTGCAAATATGCAGGTTTAAAAATCAGACCCTTAACATTATTTAAAAGTTTCTTTTTTGTATTTATTAAAATACACACCCTTGCAAAATGTATGGCTCATTGAGCGTTTCATAAAACACATACAAGCCTACAACACCAAATTCTTACAATATAAAAGAGACTTCTTTGAAAAGAAGTTCTACTTGATGTCAAAAACCCTGTTTCAAACACAAATCAAATTTGTGTAAGGGCCTTTTCCTAAGCCAGTCACATGGTTCCAGCTATGAAACTGGACCTTGGGACACTGGTCTCCTCACATTTGTTGCATGGAGACTACATTTTTCTTTGTTTTCCATTTTCTAACATAAAAGCTCATTACTGAAATTCAAGTCAACACTGTGTTTAGAGACAATTAAATTCCATACTTCTGGCTCTGCCAGAAATGTAAACATAACATCAATTTTCAGTTCCCTATTATATCTGAAGGGGCAAATTTTAATGTTGTAGGTACTATATCTCCATGGCACACTCCAGTGGGAACCTTGCAAAAGAATCAAACTCTACCATTTCATACCTGCTCCAGGACTGGAGCTGTTTCTTTGTTGCCTTCCTTTTTTTCAGCACCATCTGCAACAACAGCTTTGGATGCCAATAAACCTTAGGAGAAAAATTGCAGAGATTTTTAGTTAGAAGCAGCTTGCAACAAGAATTTGGAGAAAATAAAGAAAAACAGTGAGACAAGAAATATGAACTGCTTATATCTACAACATAATTCTCTCTGAACCGATTCCACACAAAGCTGAACACTTGAAGTTAGAAGAAACAAAAAGTTAAAGAACATTCCTATGACAGTGCCCTTTCACAAAAGGTTCTTCTCTGGCATTTCTACTAACAAGATAAAAATCAGATAATCAATTGTGAAGTAATGTCTCACCATCCTTTCAAGGCCCAAGCACTTGGGCTTTAAAACCAAGTCTACAATACTTAAGTAAATTGAGAGAGCAAAATTATTTACAAACCTTTATCTCTCCCCTTTCCAGTCTTTATAAATTCCCATCAGAAGTTGTATTACTACTTCTTAACTCTAACACGCACAAACCTTTCTCAGACAGAATAAAACAAGGGATTTCATTTCCAAATGAATATTCTCAACAGTGGAGCTCCCAAATTACCTCAACAACAAAACCGTATTGGGAGCAAATACATCTGAATATGTCACTTCATTCATGAACTCATATACAATATCACTACTAATATACATATACAATATCACTAAAAAAAAAAAAAAATCTGTAGAAGACAGGGCAACATAAATATGAGGAAGCTTTTTGTTGGCTAAGCAGACAGCAATAGCTTCAGTTCTGCTTTACACAGTAACTTCAATTACCTAAGTATGCAAAGAAAGAAATGTTCTATGCCATAAGACAAAGCAGAATTGATAAAACCAGAAAAACACAAATTTGAATAAAAGTTACTATTATAATCCTGGGTACGTCAATATATGGGGTGGAGAGTTTAAGTCCTCAAAAATAACTTAAGCTGACAGATCCACAGGACGTTCCTATTGCATTCCATGAAAAAATAGATATGCACAAAATTAATTTACAGTGCACAATGCCCAAGGAATTATAAATTAGTGAAGCCTGGGCTCTCAGGAAGTGGTTAGGACATAAAAAAACCCAACAAAAAACATGCACACGAAAAACAGTGTGGTATTTTGCTAGAGAGCTACCACATTTCAGCATTCCAGAGTAAATAATAGGTGCTTTTTTTCCATTTACTCTTTACATTAAGTTATGCTTCAGTTTACCGGAAAGTAGTGGTGTTTTAAATGAACTTTTTCAGAACACCACATCCATAACAAGAGGTGAAAACTAACTGATCTTACAGCTAAATAGGTTAACCGAAAAGCAGAAACTTAGCCCTATTATATTAACACAAATAAATTATCAGGAAAGATTTTAATTCTGCATTAGGCTTCAGAAAAGATTTAAGTTTCATGGACCTAAATAAACCTTTCTGACTCAAATTACCCTGTTCAAATCAAGTTGCAAAATTAGTAATGTTTTTTATATTGACAACCATGCATATACAATGAAAAACATAAAATAATTTTCAAAAGTAAGTGAAGTAGAGTTTTAAATTGTAAACAACAGTCTATAAGGCAGCTTTTGTGGTTCTACAAACCACAGGCTGCCCAGAGAAGTGGTGGATGCCTCATGACTGACCATGTTCAAGGTCAGGTTGGATGGGGCCTTGAGCAACCCTTGGCAGCGGGACTGGATTAGATGATCTTTAAAGGTCCCTTCCTACCCAAACCATTTTATGACTCTATGATTTTTATTTCTACCTAGACGCTCAGTGCTCAGAAAGTAAAGCCAAGAAACGAACCTAGATTCTGTCAGACGTGAATATTTCCTCCTTCTCTACCCCATTAAGTATCCTTCTAACCAATTACCATGCCTGTAGAAAAGACAAAACAACTCCACAAGCTATTACAGCAGCAGGACTACAGATTCACCACCCCCTGTCAGTAACAGCACGTAAGAGATAAAAAGCATGGGGTGGCATAGTGAACCAGAAGTGGTTTGTTCTGGAAGCTTGCTGCAGATGTTATCTATTCTTTTAGGTACCAACGCTGCAGTAGGCTATGTAGAAGCAAGCATTCCCACAGAGGCAAAAAATTAATTGGAAGATGACATTAATCCATGCTTAGCAGGAGATATCCTTCAGGAAATACAACTTCCCCCAGTGACTGTAGCAGAAGAAAAAGGAACAAAGGAACAACTTTCTTTTGTTGAGTGGTGAGCAAAGACACCAGATGCACCTGTGGCCCTTGTGGCAGACAAGGAGAACCTTCTGCAACAAATACTGAACTGAAATCCAGAAAACAGTTTCCTTCAGACAGCCTCCTACAACCACCTTCTGTGCTCTATTTCCCCAAAACAGCCATAAGACACTTAGAATCATAGAATGGTTTAGGTTGGAAAGGACCTTGAAGATCATCGAGTTCCAAACCCCTGCCATGGTTGCCCAAGGTGACGTCCAGCCTGGCCTTGAACACCTCCAGGGATGGGGCCTCAACAACCTCTCTGGGCAACCTGCTCCAGTGCCTTACAACCCTCAAAGTGAAAAACTTCTTCCTAATGTTTAATCCAAACCTGCCCTCTTCCAGTTTGTATCCATTCCCCCTCGTCCTGTCACTACATGACCTAGTAAAAAGTCCTTCCCCTGCTCTCCTTGGTAAATGAACATTTTCCTAACAGCTATAATGCTTTACAATTCTTTTGTAAGCATTCTGATGGATACACCAGCATGACTCCCAACCTTCCTTCAAATCTAAAAGCTCATGCCGGAGACAGACATGACAATTTACAAGTTTTTCAAGCAGAAAAAATAAGCCCAGAGCAAGAGTGTGACGGTGTGTTCCCCCCACCCAACCTGACCTTTTCCTACAACCCTACCAGTGCCAGTCATGATGGATGCATCTGGTCAAAGGGGATTTGGGGGAAACACAACAGCCCTGGGCTAATTTATGGCAATGTTCCCACCTAACCACAGTGCTGGTCAATGTCCAACCCAAGCCAAATTTTGAAGAAACTAACATCTATGGTCAGTATGCATATATGACCACGAGTCAATCATCTTACCCCCATACACAGTGAACAGCCCAATAACTCTTTTAGCCTTCCTGCACAGCAGTAGGCTGCACACCAGGATCTCCCCTTCAGTAGGGACAGCTCTCAAGGTTATTCCTTGAGTTTCAGAGATTCCTTGCCATAACAGATCCTCAGTGAGTGACTAATAGCACGGTAAACTTTGAAGCTTCACTAAGACTATATCTTAGATTGATTATGCACGTACAATCCTTTAGACATAAACCATTGACCAAGTCCGGGACTAGGATTGGATCCAGCTGCACCCAGACGCCTCTCCGAGGAGTTTGGAAAGCCAGGGAGTCCTCTCTGAACCTCGTGACTCAACAGGAGGGTCTCCCTGACAGCTCTGTCTGACCCTGTCCTCTATGCAGTATATAATCAAGTGTACCTTGCCATCAAATCTCATTAAACCACTGTCACATTTAATAAACTTTGTTAAATCCCCGTTTTCTATCAATAAATATATTGCTGTTTCTCTCTGAGTGAATTGCATCACTCCACCCGCAACAAAGTTTGATCATCAGGAGTTACATTTTCAAACTATTCTATTACATGCAACAATAAAAACTCTACTACAGTATGAGTTGCAGAAGTGTGTTAATTTGACAACAGTTACACAAAGCAACTACCAAGCATGAAAGATTTCATCTTGCAATTAAAAGTATTAATTCACTTTCACTGAATGGTAACACATTCTCTCCTAGCGGAGTATGCTTTCACAGACAGAGACAAACACTGTTTTTAGAATGATAATGAAGTCAATGGCTGCAACATTATGTTTTCTGATTATTCAGTTCAGTCCATATGAGCCCACCCAACTGCTATTATTCTCACAAAGCTCATTAGGAAAGGAGAATCTATTCACAAGCACAGAAAAATACAATTTCTTAGAGGTATAGGTTTTTCAGCTGGTTTTGGTATCTTCTGCTACTAATTGCTATAGGAAAGAAATAACAGGGCTCTGTAAATATATATCAGTAGTATACGTCTTAACTCTACTGCTCATGACAGCAATTAAATTGGGACTTAACTGAGGGTGTATGCAGTATGGGCAAAGGACAGTAGAAATGAGGCTGATAAATCAGACATCTGTTAAGTAAACGCAGTATCAAATAAGAAGCCTTCCAGGAAAGAAAATCCTGGAGGCACAAGATGGGTTTTTCTAAAGACTGCTTCCTTCATATCATGTGCCGCACTGGCCCATTTCGTTTATTTTCTCCTTTACATTGAAGTACTGATTGAGAGACTGAAATGGAACCACACTCATAAGAAAAATTACTAACATCCTCCACTGCTGACCTATGAAAGGTTAGATCAGCCAAAACAAGTCTGGAAAAAAAAAAAAAAACCACACCAAAACCCCTCATCACACAGTTTAGTAAATCAGGTTCTTTTTACCTTATAGAAACAAGTAAGACTTTTTGTATGAACAAACATACACCATCTACTACAACAAACAAACAAAAATCCCCTCTTATCTGTAACACACAAAAGTTTGTCAGACTTCAGGCACAATATTTACTAGAAGAATGAGTGGAAGGCATTTCCATCTTACTGTCTGTCCAAAGGCCCCTCTGTTAAAGGGGGAGACTTCCCAATTTTTTTTTCCACCCAGATTATGAAAAGCACCTGATACTTTCCCAACACACATACAAACATATTACCTCATCCTAAATACTGACAGGATCATGCTGGCAACACAATTTGCTTATTGGGAGGCACAGGGTAGGGAGGATACAAATTGAAATAATTTTTCCACAATTAAGTAAATTTCTATTAAGTTTTGGAATAAAACGCAACTTTTAAAGATAAAACCGATTATCTATTATTCCATTTCCTGTTGTATAAAATGTACTCTATAGCTGTAAACTTGTTTTCCATTAATACCTCTGAGTAATAAATGTAGGGAATGAACACTTTACACACCAAAAAAAGCCTTTTTAGATCTTCATTGCTTCAATTTGTAGCTAGGCTTGTATACTTTTAAATGACATACTGTAAACTCTTTTCAGCAACAGTTTTACTTTATGACAAACTATGACAAAACATTTAGTTTTTCCACAGCTAACAAACGCTTTAATTTGCAGTGGTGGTACATAACTCATGACCATGTTATGAATTTGTACAAACCCCAAATTCACTCGATAATGAAGAAAATTGTGCAGCTGGAGTTAAAATATACTCAAGAAAGTCATCAGTTCAGGATGGTTACATTCCTAGAAAGCTAAAAAGACCAAGTCAAGTCCGAGACCATCTTCTGAATTCCTGAACAAGGTAGGTTTTATTACCATTTATAGATTCCAAGTAAAAGACTGTAGTGAATACCTGGCCATGAATGTGCTTTTGTCAAGCTACTTTAGTACCTTATATGTAAGCACGTATATTTCACTACATTAAAAAGGAAAAATGTCAATAATTAAAAAAAGCATTTTACCAGTGATCTTGTTAAGACGAGCTCTCTTGGCCTGAAATGAGTTGCCTAGATTACTTTTCCTCTTGTGTGATAGCGTGCTTTCTGCCTGCACAAAGGCCATCTTTGGAACATCCACTACAGGAAATCCTACTTTTAAACAGAAGAGAAATCTAATAAACTCACATTTCATAAATACACCCAAAATACTCAAGTATTTCAGCACTGCTATTAGAATACTGCAGTAAAGTAACTTTAAAATTCTATTAAAAATGAAAATGACACATTCTTAAGATTTATTATTACACACACTGATGCATTAGATGCAGATTACCTCAAAATTTCTAGCTTTTACTCATTATGAGAAATGTAGTATTAAAGACTATTGCAAACAAATTCTTGTCAAACGAGAAATAGTTTCAAACATCCCTGAATATGGATATATCATCCATACTGGAATATTTTTTCTTATAACAGAATCAGAGATGATCTCACAGATAATAGAAGAAGCAGGAATATGAACAAAAGTATACAATGAAGTCATTAAAAAAAACCCACCTGTATTCCACTCTTTTTAGAGCTAGTTAGAAGTTTTGCACAAGCAGTAAATTCTGACTGAAGTGATAAAAATTGTTTCTGATGTTATGTATCACTAAGTTATCACAATAGCAAATGAGACATCTTCCTCCAAAAATACTAGTTCTTATTTAACTGCAAAATTAACATCAAGAATTCTACTTCAACATTACAGAAAAACCTATTTTATCTTGTATAGAATTTTTTACCAAATGTGTCACTAGATGTAGGCTCCTCTTCCTTTTTTTGGACTTCCTGCATGATTGCAGAGGTTGAGGTTTCTTCCTTTTTTGAAGGAACTTTTAGCCATTTTCTGTCCTCTTTATCTTTATTGCTGTTTGCGCTGGTTCTAGGTTTACTTCCTGCTTTGTTCTTGGCCGCTGCTGCAGCAGCGGCTTTGACCAAAGCTATCCAATCCTCCAAAAAGGAAAACATGGTAAGTAAGTATTAAAAAGTGCCCGAGATTCAAACAAAACATACTTATAAACCCAGTGAAAGTTTATCTAGAAACATTCAAGAGCAGTTGAATTTATTTTTATGGTTACTACTCAAAGAGTGCTAAAATGAGTTTCCCAAGTTGCCTAAATAAACTTGAAGTACTATCAGTATGCCACATGGATAAAAAGCAAAAAGAAAAAACCTTCAAAAGCACACTACGTATAGAATTCTGGCTGCACGCGTTCCCTGCTATCTATTTTATGTGTCCTAGCTTTAGAAACCCAGGAGCTCCCAAACCCAGAACACTGACTGTTTTCTTACCCTTCCGGCTGTGAAATACATCAATTCCATTGTTGCTCAAATTTAACTATTATTCAAAACTACAATCGACTCAAAGCATGGTCCAGTCAGCTGCATGATTGGGCAGAGTTCTTCCTGAATTAAATTGATAAAGCAGGGACAACTCTTTTTGAATTATATCTGTGTTTCTAGAATAAGTACAGATAGCACTCTTTTCATATTGCACATTACACGTTTCATTCAATAATTTCAATAAAGCGCTCTATAACATGACTGAATTTCACAATCCACATTTAAGGTAACAGAAGTGCCATTTTGGATAATGACTTATTTGATCATACAGAAACATCCAAGGAGTGAACAACAGAACATACAGCCCTAATTCATCTACTCCTTGGCACGTAGACAAAGTCTAGCCACCTGTAAGTCAACAGAGAGAACTAAATACTTCCAAGGCTGAGACAAGCTCTTTCCACTAGTTCGGAGCGATCAGACTCCTGCCTTACGTCTCCTGAATGTCAGGGATCAATCTGATTGCAAAAAATTAAACTTGATCCTTTTTACTAAAGTATTTTTTTAAATTTTCTTTAACATCAAGGTACAGAATATTTTCATGGAGAAGTTACATGTGATATAAAACCCAATAGCAATGTTCAACCTTCAGCAGTAAAATTAAGCAACTGAGTGTTTTGAACAACAATTAATTTACTACATGGCAACTTGGCTACAAGAGTATTTGCAGATTTGTACTACCACATATAAAAAAGCTATGATACAGACTATTTTTTTGTCTAGTTTCATAAATAGTCTAGTTTTTACAAATAGTAATACTTTTTTTTCCCCCCAACTGTGAACAGACTATATTTTATTCTGGACTGTTTCCTTGTTGTTATGTTATCATGTGAGGTACCTAAAGTGTCTTGATTTTATAAATCTTGTTTCAACGCAGCTTTTCCCTCACTCATTATGTATTATAAGTCTTTCCAATTTTTGTCCTACTGAGGTTTATTTGCCTCCTTTGATGTAAGAGAAAAGCATAACACAAAATACAAAGCATTACTTTCTCGTATTATGCTTTTCCTTTTCTATAGCTGAGTACTTTTAAATCTGTTTTCCATAGGTTATGCTTCTACAGTGCACCAAGCTACGTACTTTAAAACGCCAACAGTTTTGACTCCCCTAAGATGAAGTGTTCTGTATCCAAACTGTCAACGCAAGATGCATATACTCAGTCTAGCTAGCAGCAGGAGAGTTTGGAAGCGCTTTGGCAATGCTTACACAACAGGCAACTACCAAGGCCATTTGGTGACGTGCCAGCCACAACGAGCGTGTCTAAATGCCAGCTGCATAGTCAATCAAAAACACACATACCTCTTTTTTGGCCAGCCAAAACGAGCACACACATTAGCTCCAGTCCATCCAGAGCCTTGCCCATCCAGCAGGACAAAAAGAGGATTGAGCTATTTGTGCTGGTGAGGAGTTAGGAGACCTGAGAGTAGAAGTCTTACACTGTACCCTGGCCAAGGGATGAAGAGGATCAGTAACATGGCTGGAGCTTGGATCTTACCATAAAAGTGGGAAGCAAAGGAAGGGCAGCCTGCATCAAAACAGCTTCTGAACAGCATTTTAGTTTTCAGGCAAGCTAAGCACCCTGAAATCAGAAGCTTTCCAAAGATATCGAGCTTCAAGGACCGCAATGAACTAAGTAGCCTGTTCTAACGGTAGCTGTTCTGGTGCAAGATGAAGGGGTTTTTTTGTTTGCATTTTATTTCATTGTTTGGATACTTTCCTTAAGACACAGAGCTTACAAAGGGTAGCAGGATACATGTAACAATGAAGGAAACAAAGGTTAAACATTCAGAAGCCAGAGCAGAGAGACATTCATTATGGTGATAGTTATACTTTTTTTTTTCTAGAGTAACACATGAATTCAAACTCAGTGAAGAGAACCTTGAGCAGGGAGATGGACAAGATTATCAAGAGGTCCCTTCCAACTGCAACAATTCTGTGATTCTGAATTGGCCAGAAACTCTGTGGGTCTGTTTTTATTCTGGCTCCAGCGTACATATATAGTCACTGAAGTGACACAAGTAATTCCTGCTTTTTAACCTTGAACCCCTGCAGAGTGATTGCTCAGCTGCACAGCTCCTGATATGTGAGAACTATTTTGTATCTAAGATGCTAATGTGATTATATTTCTTTTGAAGAGCACAGGAACTCTTCCTTTAAAAACATGCGCTGGTGCTTTTATCAGAATTTTTAGAAAAATTTAACAAAAGATGGGAGAATAACAGTGGAAGCCTAAAACACAATGAATTCTGAAATGGAATTCTCAGGGCCGTTGTAAAATATCTACTCTGTCAACCATAATAGCAGGACACTAAATGTCATAGATATCCGAGAAATTACTAGCAAATCTTTAACAGCAGGACTTCTCCCCAGAGCATTCAGTATACACAAAGCCAAGGGCCCAAATATGAACACATCCCATATTAATAAACTAAAAGCAAAATCCTCCTAAGAGAAGTTCTCTCTATTTGTCCCTCATGTCCTGACATTGTCGCTCTATTGGCTGTGGTTTTGTAACCCTGCACCAGTTACTCCACACCATCCAGCCCGATTTCCCACTTCCCACAGTATCTCGCCCCAGTGTAAGTTTCTCATGTACATATATATAGCTTTAAAATAACATATATTTCCCTGTTTTCTTATTCTTACTAAAATTCATCTTTCAAGTAAGCTGAGAAATTTGACAGGAGAGAAGTAATGGGACATGGTAGTTAGAAGACAAAACATTACTTTATCACTATTGAGGAAAACCGTCATTATGCTAATTAGATTCACTAAATCAAAACACAGGAAATTGCACGATCAAGAAATATGTTAGTAGAAATTACCCAATAGCCTTATACATCAATTGGCTAAACCACTTGTATTTTAAAATATTCCTTTGCATAAGCTTAAACCTGCAACAGTAGGAAGGCAAAACCCAGAATCAGTTCTAAAAACCAACCCTTGTGCCAATACCAGAATTCACACACACATCGTTCTCCCTTCACCTGCCTACAATTACCACCTTTTTGCTTCTCTACAGTACTAAAGAAGTTTTTCCTCTCCTGACACATCACAACTCCCAATGCCCACACATTCATACATACACATACATAAAACATCAGTCTATGGACTGGCTGATTCCACATCAAGCCTGGAATCCTTACCCTCACCTTTCAATTCTAAACAGTCTGCCCCACCTACATCTTGGCTCACATTGTCTCCTGTCACATCTTCTTTTTTCCTCTGTCCCAATCGCAAATCCATGCTTTTTCCTCAGCTTCCTCTTCCTGTGTGCCAAGTCCCCTCCCTCTCCTTCAAAACCCTCCTCAAAACTCACTTCTTTTGGTTCGATTTCCGTCACTAATCTCAGCTCCGGCGCTATCTGCTCCCTCTCGCGCGCCTAATTATATCGAAGATAAAACAAAAAACATGAAACAGAAAAAGTAAGTTATCCAAATACTTCATATGTGCTCTCACAAGGGCAGTCTCAATATCCCCATCCTTTTTTATTTTCTCTGTACTACGTTAGCCAGATTTCTGTGATTTCAATTAATTTGCGCTTATGTGCAGAGCAACCTAACCTATAGTTCCATTGCATTGAACCACACAAGTATTTTCCACCCTTTAAAAATTTTGCCTTTCCACCCTCACAGCTGAGTCTTATTAAAACACAATTCTGCTGCAACTCAAAAATAGTTTGAGCTTTACAGTGTTTACAATCTCTTCCTTTAAGACACACTAAGCTCAAATCAAAGAATTAACTAAACTAGTCTAGATCTGTCTTTCTCGATGTAATTCAAATTCTGCAGGCTTAACGCACAACTTCCAAACAGATCTTACATTTGTTAAATTTGCTAATGCCCTAGAACTTGAAGTATCTTAAGCTTACACTCATCTCTTGAAATGTGTTTTTTCTTTGGAAACAGACAAAACCAAGACATAGGTTTAAATTAAGCATGAAGTTTTGGATCTGCCAACTCCACTATTTTTCAAATCAAGTTATATTCTTGGGGTTTTTTTAGTATTTATATAATTTTTAGTAAGTGTCTTCTTATAAAATAAATAATGCAAAAAATCTCAAAACATTCATTTGAGTTACAGGATTGTAGAAAGCTCAGTTTCAGACAACTGATTTTCAAGCCAAATCTTAGATCACATTTTTATTCCTAAAAACCACAAAAATATTTTGAAAAACAAACATTTTGCCACAGCATAATGATGTAGGAGATGTTGCAGAAAAAGTATCTTCGCCTTTGAAAGCTTCAGAACTTCATGCCTAACTATTTTGCAAAATGAAATTCTAAGACTAATATCAATTAGCATTATAGAAAGCATAATTAGCGTTGTTCTTGCTGCAAGACAACTTAAAAATGCTTAAATTCATCTCAAAGTATAAATTTGGTCCCCTTATTCTTTCTCAAGACTTCATTGAAGCCACCTATGTTCAGCCCCTGAGATGCATGAGACTGACTCCATAACTCTCAACTACTGAGAAAAATTAGAAATACTAGATGAGCTGAACTGCCACCAAGCATGTCTGAACATCAAAATGGTTGCTCAGAAATGGATTTACTATTTTTGTTTAAGCTGAAGATGCCTGTGGCCTAAGAGTAGTAACTCAAGAGTAGACACAACATAGCTCCCTAGAAAAAGCACAGGACCGAGTAAGGTACTTTACGTTGTCACAGAAGGGCTGTTTCAGTTCAGTCACAACCACATTACCCATGATTTCCTTTTTATGAAGTTAAATGAAATACTCCAGCTTCCTAACTTACTGTCATACTGAAAATAGTTTGAAATATTACGTTCTAGTTCAGCAGAGTTACTGTAAAACTGCAGCAAGAAGCCAGTGTTAGCGCAACTACGGATTTCAGTTTAATCTCGTTAAGGAAACATAGTTTAAATAGCGCAGTGTTGCCTGTGTTTTTTGCACAGATGATCAATCCCAGTATACAGCTACCCATAACCTGGAGGCCAGGATACAGAAACGTTTTCAAGCCTTTTCGCTTATCCATCTGCCCTCGTCATGATCTGTGTGGTTACAATAGTAATTATGAAATACTTGGATTTCATTTGCCAAATTAGAAAGAGTATTCTAAAGAAAACTGGGAGCAAATAAGAACAGTTTTTTTCACATTTCTTGTCACCCAGTCTTTAATAATTTCAGTGGAGTAATTCCTCATTAACTGTGAGAATACAGTTACCATGCAAGATAAATGCAATGGTATTTCCATTGAAAGCATGTAACAGTTTTCAATGTTGTTTTTCTTTTGCAAGTAAAGATATGCCTAGTGACTAAATGATCTCTACTTCACAGCCTTCCTCTATTTCTACTCAGCATCTCTTCTTTAACAGCAACTGGACATTATCAGAGATAAAGAAATACTTATCTGTCTGAATCCCCAGAAGTTCTGATACAGGGGAGAAAACCCCCACAGAACAGTCACATTAATAAGAACGTGGGCAAAAAGCTACAACAGTAGCAAACAAAAGAGATGGGGCGAGGAATAAATAAATCGATCGCCAGCACAGACTACTGACAAGCTCAACTATTTTCTGAAAGGACACCAGAAGGAAAAGTCTCTGGATGCCCCTGGTTTTATAAACACTGCAAGACAAAACTCTGGGAACAGATTAGTCGGCAATGGAATGTGTGGCAGCTAGACATTTCAGGTAGCAGCAAGACTACTTGAGCAGCACACTCTGGGGCATCATCCATAAAACTGGTGAAGCAAGGCCGTGCAGAACCTAAAGTAAAGACTGTAATCTAAAGCTAGTTGTGCTAAATGACATTTATTAAAGATATTAAAAAAATAGTCAATATAAAACCTAACAAAGATACCTAAAGTATTCTTACCTGCCCTTTTGCATCCTCTGGCATAGATTTGATATGCATCCTCTTAAGACATCTAATAACACCATCATAGAACTGTACTGTGAAAGTTCCTAGAAAAGGATTGATGTAATCACTACGAGTAGTTAAGAAACAAACACACCTTGTTACTACGAAAGCTTTAGCAATGTGTTTTTGTAGGCTATATGAACAAAGTAAATAGGTGTTACCTACAGTCAAGACCAAAAATTTTAAGAAAAATAAATGACAGCCTCAATAAAACCCTGCTTTTATATAGTTGCTCTTTGTCCACTTGGAAAATTTCAAGCATGTTTAAGCTACCGTGTCATTTTTGCTCATAATTCATTGGAAGAATTATGTAATATTTAAGTTGCCACAACAGGGAAACAAATTCACAATCAAATCCTCATTTGCTCTAAACTACAGTAAAAACTAACTTCTACTTATGTTCATTAAAAAATATCACCCCACTGTGAAGTACTGCATCTAAATTGTTTCTTTATTTCCCTATTTCCATCGTTTTTCTTCAATTTCAACAGAAATTTCAAAAGACCTACCATTCCTAAAACAATTACACAAATTTAAATGTATCACTAGCCCAAACCAACAATAGTAGAAAATACGCATAACACCGTGCACAAGATACTCTTCTCATCACTGAGGAAACATTAAGGTTTCTGTCTTCCAGGAGAAATTACAATTGTTTAATTTCACACAGATAAAAGACAAACTTCTTACTAAGTTTGACAGAATAGAAACATTTTCACTTAATATTTAGGCAGGGAGGAAAACTTTATATGCATGTCAATTTTTTAAGCAGACTACAGCTACAGCACAGCATATGGAAAGAGTCCTCACGAATGGACCATACATGAATACATACCTTCTTTATTAATTGCTTCAATCTTTGCAGGGTAATATCGACAGTCTGTCCAACGAGCTAGGACTTCTTCTCCAGGTTTAAAATCCTATTTTAGACAAATTTAGTCATTAATATTTTAATCATTTAGATTTTTTCCTAAAAAGAATTAAACATTAAATGCTAAAGAGATTTAATGCAGGGAACTAAGTAGCACCGTTTACAAAAAAAAAAAAAAGCCAAAGACAAAATAAATGTGCTACTTACAACAAATTCTTCATCATCTTTCAGCCCCTCTTTCCTTAACGCTGGTCTTTCCAAGGGTCGCAACCTGTTGCTGTCCCAGTAAATCCACTCATCGTAGCGATGACTCCAACGTTCAAAATGGACTAACATCTTCCCCTCTTCATAATCTATTTTCTCAATACGAGATGGATACCTTGAATGATAAATGTGAAGTGATAAATGCCAAAGCTTTTTCCAGGGTTATTTTCTTGCATACAACAAACGGTGCTTACATGACCATTCAGAAAGTTATACTGGCACCTTGTATTGCAAAATCTCCAAGTCTGAAAAAGAAGAAGTTATTAAAATGATAGTAGGATAACACTTATTTTTAAGAGTTATCTATACACATCAGTGATACAGATGATTATACACAAATTTACACCTCAGACTCCCAGACCAAGACTGCCAGAAACTGGCATTAGAAGATCGTGCTTATCAGTTTTAAAACCTGCGTTTCTTTAAAGCAAAATCTTGTAAGAGGTTTAACTTGCTTGGGGATGGGAAGGATATAAAATGGTTTCAGAAGCACATTAATTACTTTTATCTTATGAAATGTTTCAAACTATACCATTGATTCCAGATAAATCCACGCAACTAATCAAACCCAGAGTCAAGAGAACATTCTTACTTAATCTAAGTGGCTTATTAATTGATAGATCAAATTCCACAATTTCACTGCCATTAAATTTGATTCATAGTAACTATTTTTTCATAGTCATCTCTGTTACTGCACGTGCACTAAAATAAATATGTCAGTCTAAATTAACATGTGGATTTTACTCTCAAACATTAGTTCTACTGGGCACATATAATCAGGACCGAGCTGCAACCAGATCCAGTCTTAGGATCTAATTTTGGGTGTGTCATAGATATAGATA